AGATCAAATACGCTTCTTGCCACGAGACGCTGCCATGTGCTGGGGCTGCACTCCATAGTCGGCTGACATTGCATACTTGGCAACACTCACCAGCAGGAATCGCAACAATAGAGTGGAATCTTGTTCCATCACGCACGCTCAACGTCATCGACCGTTGTGCTCTTCACCAGAGATGTGCTATTTTTTTCTATATAGTCATTTACTTCATTTCGCATTTTCTCTTTGGTAGGACCGTGCCCTAAGCTAACACAGCGATTGTTCTTAGGAGTTTTTACTTCACTGTGAGGGAAGAGCTTCTCCTAAAGATGATTTACCATTGATCTGCAACATCTATGCGCAGTCCGTATGTTTTTCCCAGAATTCCATACTTCTGTCTGAATTTACACTGGCCAACGGCAAAATTTTAACATGATAGCGTTAGAGAGCGCGTTTCGCAGAAATTATGGTGTCGGCGTAATCGGTCGTGATCAAAAAGTAATCGTTTGCGTGACCGAAAAATTGAGAGCAAATAAAATATGAGTCATTCTATGCCAATTGTCCCAACCAGAGTGCTCGCCAAAAATTAATTTCAATCATATAGTTTGAGAAAATTACGTAGATATAGACATTAGTTGTAAAGTATTTTCCCGGGCTATTTTGGGCGGCAAAATTTTTTTGCGCCCGTGACCAGCATTTGAAAATCGTGAAGATGGTGGAAAACCAGGTACGAAAAAAAATTCTCTATAAATTGGCCGTTTCGCGCATTTTTTTCAATACTTGCATTTTTGCGTTTTTAGAGCAACATGCTTTTATTATAAAACAGTTGCTCGTATTAGCTTGAAAATCTTCGCTCTTTAGAGCATAGACAAAAAAGTAAATTGTAGTGTTTTTAAGAGGTTTTCTACAAAAAACGACTATCGATAAAATTCGCAAATTTCTTCTATCAAACTCTCCTTAAAACGTTCTATTTACAAATGTTTTTGTTTTGCCGTTGTGTGGTGCGGAGGCTCTGAAATAAAATCCTTAACTTGGAAAAAAAAATACCACTTTGGTTTATGTTGACACGTTTGTAGCATCCTAACGTGGCCTATGAAAAGATCAAAAGAAAAGCGAGTACGATTGAGAATCATAGCGACTTTGTTCAAGAAAGTTAAATTGAAGTCATTTTTGTGTTAGTGGAGAAAAACATTTTCTTTTTTTTAAGTTTAGTCCCACCATTGCATTGTTTGTTATGGTGCCAATACAAGCCAACTGAATTTGCTGCATATTTATTCGCCCCCTCTGATCCCTACTAGGGGATCAATAGCTAGTCGTTGACGCCAAAATATTGACATGAGTAAATTTGATGTCAGTTCTCCTTGAAGTTTATTCGGGAAAGTTACATGGCTGACAGTGGTTTAGCGCACTCGTTCTTACTGCAATAACAGTATAAAAAGGTAACAGTCCAGCACACAACTTTCTCCGATCGATTATCCGCACGACAGTGATGCAACAAAGGTTGGGTTATAAAAGGTTTTTTTTTTTTTCAAGTGTCTGCTTTTTTCGTCAGTGTATAACAACGCCACGAAAGCGCTCAATATGATGTAAAATAAAACGTTCATGTTTTGCGTGAAATTATACGACGTCAACACTGCACTATAGTGGGAATAAAAATTGTGGACGCACACCGTCTAGATCAATTTTGACCATCTGGATACGGTAAAGCGAACCAAACTGCAAGCACACGGGTGTGTTTGTACAAGTTTCGCCCAGTATGAAAATTGCGCGCGGTAACTGAAGTTGTAGTCACCTCCGCGTCGTTCTATTTTCGGTTCTTTTTAAAAGACAATTAAGTACCGAAGTGTGAGAATTTACTAGACAAATATTGGGCTCTGGTGGGATCAGGACCGTACAATGAAAGGTCCTCGCTCAATTGATAAGCAACAGCGCCACAGCTCAACACTAAGCAGCATTACAAAACTTCGTTTATCACTGAGGCGATAAAACGCTGCATTAACTCGATGTATAATACTCCTCGTGTTTGGGACGACGCCAAATGCACGTCAAGACGTGAATCAACTACGAAGTGGCACCTATGCCGAAATGATCCCGCAGAACACAGGGCCCGACGACGATCAGTCCGGGCGAGTACACGGACTGATCTTATTGCAGTGCATATACAGCCGAGCAAGGCCAAATGTGGCTGTAGGTGTAGTTTGGCAAACGTACAAGCAGTTAAACTCGCGCCAACAGAGCGGGACAAACCGTCCTTTGAGGCTGAGCATGACGTACGCGCACATGCTAGCATTATAGGGCTAGCAGACGACGCAGGGAGCAATCCACACTATAGGCGCGCTTTAGCCAGTGGCCACCAGGCGGCGACTGCGCTTGATCGCGGGGCGAATGCCAAGAGTGTGGGAAAGGGAAATGATGGGAAGTATGGGGAAATTAAGGGGAAAGAGTAAACTATTGCATGGGACGCAAGATTAAGAAAGAAAAGAAGAAAAAGGAAGATACATTGAGCGAGAAATAGAAGCATATAGAGAGGGGAACAAAGAAATAGAAATACACAAAGACAGAGCCAGTTGAGGAAAGAAAGAGAAAAATAAGAAGAAAATACTGGCCGGCTCTGAACATCCTTCAAGCTCTATACTAGTGCTAAGCGAATTCTTTCCTTTTTTTTTCTCTCTTAGTGTTTCTCATTGTAAAGCTGCATCAGCGAAGTTACTACAAGCGCCGGACGGCAGAAATCCCGTCGTTTCGTTACAGTAGTTTCGTCTCATTCAGTGCTGGAGCAAAATGCATAGGTATTCTGACGCACGGGTATTGTAACGCACGTGGCTTACCTCTTCCTTGCGGCAGTGCACGGCCTCACGTTGTTGCAGCCGGTGTCCCGTTCTCCAGCAGCAATGACATTAAAGAGCTAGGCCCAGCCGTGTGATAGAGACAGCTGGCTTTTCTGCAGCCACGGGACCCAGCATCGGACACGTTGTAAGGGAAGTCCTGGATGCTGGGAGAGCGGCAAGATTTCTCTTTGTCATGGGTCTTCTTGTGTGCGTCATTTGTTGGTTTTATTGGATTTATTTATTCATTTTTTCTCCGCTATTGTACATACACGGCACCGCAGGACTTCAACCTCGGGGTGACGCGTTCGCTCTAAGCCGCGTCCCGTCTCCGCCCTGTTGGCGCCGTTTGAACTCGATTCCCACCAATTGACCGTTATACAGTTCTCTGCGGTCGCTAGAAAGGGACCGCCGCGCCAATTCTGTGTCGGGCTGCGCGGCTTCTTCGTGCCATCGCAGTTCACGATGATCGATGCCTCTAAGTGTGGCAACTCGAGGACAACTGAGGAGCACACTCTCGAACCAGGGCCTCGGCAGTTAGCGCTCGCTGTCGTTGAAAAAGATTGTTTCGCCGACCCGCCTGCTGTGGCTCGCCCAGTATGTTGGCGGTATTCTTTACGCCTATAGGCGTGCAGTCGGCATGGGGGGTGACGGGGGGGAGGGGGATGGGTTCATGTCTTATTGGTAGAGGCGCAGTGATGAACCTTCGCCCCCCCTCCCCCCCTCCCCTGATGGGGAACCCTTTTCACGCCTATGCACCTAGATATGCTCCAAGAGAAAGGAAAGTTTCGCGTAGGTCCGCCATTTGCGCAGGAGAGTGGCGGTCGCTCTGCCCTTGTCATATAAGGGGTGGGGGGGGGGAGCGCAAAGACTGCCTCATACATTGATTTAATAAAAAATGAAGGGAAGAAGGGGGGGGGGGCGAGGGAGCTACAATGACCCTTCGCGAACCCCGCGCACGCTTCTCACGGTGACTATTGGAGCGGAATGTGGATGTCACATCACGTGGTCGTGCCTTTAAAGTTGGCTTCTCAGTAGTGCGGTGGAGCATTTCGTGTCATTTTGTACCTCGTGATAACGCTCGGCGTACCGGTGCGAGAAAAACATATGTGTGCAACTATGCTCCTTTTATGAGCATATGCGCAGGCATAATGGTTGGCACTATGGACCGACTCGTCATGCTCGAGGTGCGGGACTGCGTGTCGTTTTCCTGCCTAGGTCGTTGACGCGTTGCTTTCTGGATGATCTTATGATGATTCAGAGGGAAGCGCTTTACTGGTTGAAGCGAAGTCTGGCTGCCTCAGAACGCATAGTTATACAAGTGAAATAAAGTGAAAAACAAGTGAAAATGTACATGCAGTGGGGAAGCTAAGGAAACGATGAAACATGTTTTGATTTAATGTGCAAATAACCATCTGGGTGTATGTTTGGGCACTATTCTACATGAAGGATTTCGTTTCAGTGACAACGATGTGAAGGTAAACGCATCGGCGATAGAAAGAAGTAAGAGACATTCAGAGGAGTAGTGGCGTAAAAGTAAAAAGAAAGGACGAAAATAAACAGTAGAAAAAAATAAGGTCACTCTACTGTTAGAACCGCAAGCTTTGGTGATGAATTTGTGCTATCTTTTTTTCGATGGAAGAACGACTTAATGGAAGTAAACAAGCCATTCCGATTAGAAAGGAAAAGTGTGGTTTTTGGAGCCTGCTGGCGCACAAATCACTGCCCCGTTAACTATAGGGTGACACGCACTGCATCCATCCGTCCATACGAGCGGGCTTGTGTAATCGCAAGCTCCTGTACTTTCACGTTGGGGTGACCACATGAACTAAGATGAACGAAAGTTTGTGTGCGCGTGTGTGGCAGTGTAAAAAAGAACTGCAGTCTTCACAGAAAGAAAGCAGGCCAGTACAGTTTCCGCAAGACCGGTGTTCTAGTTTAGCGTCTTTACTCGGCTACTAGCATCACTCCTTTGCGCTGGGTAACGTTCACTTTTCGCCCGTATTCACTCGCGTAGCTTACAAAGCACCTTGCCTACCGCATCCATTCGCATGCTACCGGCACTGATGACATTGACCAAACGATGGTTGGTGTTAAATTATATCAAATGACGGGTAATGTCGCCCAGAGCTGGGTGAATGAGGGTATTGCGAGAAAAGGCTACGCAGCATTCTACAAACTCATCCTCGCCCATTCCAGGTGGCAGCCTGCAGGAAATCCTGTTCAGCGCATCGCTCAGCACTCGGGAGAAGAAACGTCAGGGTCACATCTACGAACTCATCTCCACGGAGGAGAACTACGTCAAGGACCTGGTCCTCGTCAAAGAGGTACGGGCACTGTCTTCGACGCTCCGTCTTGTCTCGTTTTCACACCCTGGCCCACGGTGAATGCGCGCCCTGTAGTCGATCTTATACGTGAGACACATTGACGCCGTCACGTCGGCTTTTTAAGTGGGAAACCAGGAGCGCAGCCAGAATATTTTTCGGAAGAGGGAGGGCGGGATCAACCATACTCCATGTATCTTCGTGCGTGCGCGTGTATGTGTGCGTGTGTATATGCGCAAGCAAAATTAAAGAAAAAGTCAGGGAAGTTTGCCTTTCACCGCCTTTATTAAAGGAGTCGGGATATTCACAAGTGTGTGGGTGCATCGCGGATTCTCGCGCGAAGGCGCTTCGGGCCTCCCACGCCTCTTCTGCTGCCGACGAGTCGATGTTTGTGCGCGATAGAGAAAGGAGCGGTGCGCAACTAGGGTCATTTGCTTCGCACCATGCGCGTCTACTTTCTCCATAAGGCCACCAATGTACCATTAGTAACCGTACGGAGGCAACACTCTTTGCAGGCTCTATAGCCGCTGTCCCATTAGGCCCCGTGAAACGTCTCTTTTATACAAGCGCACCCCCTGATGGTTGTCTGAACGCTCGTACGCCGAGGTCTCGTCGATACGCTTCGAGGAGTCGTCAGCTGTGGCCTTGCACTTTTCCCCTCCGTTTCCCCGCAGGTGTTCTACCGGCCCATGAAACAGTCATCGCTCTTGGCCGACGACGAGGTGAAGCTCATCTTCGTGAACTGGCCCGAGCTCATCATGAGCAACACCAAGATGCTCAAGTGAGACTCGACCGAACGACCGTTTTGTTGTACGGCGACGCCTACCCCCCCACCCCGTCTCCTTTCTTTCACTCCCACCCGTGAGGTAGGCGGTGTTATCGCGGGGTATAAGTGTGTGAGAGGCTGACGTTGTTTGCCGCGCCGTGTCGTAATGACATTCTTGATCTCAATGAGACGGTCAGTAACACGCTTCTCGTCGAGTCCCGCGACCGTATACCCGTGGAGGTCACGTCTTACTTAGCTCGCGAAGAACGAATCCGCGCAAAGAAAGAATCGCAGCTTTGTATACGCTTGTCCATACACCACTGTCTTGGCTGTGCCGTATGCACTGCACAAACGGTCAAAGGAGAGAAAAAAGGTATGCTACGCCGATACTTTCTGCTTGCCGTGATAGCGGGAGCTTTATTTAGCCTACTGAATGCACTGCACGAGGGCCATCAGATTCAAAAACCTTGACCCGCGCACGAAATGGACATTGAACTTTCCGCTTTGGTTCGCGGAGACGCGCCAGCTCTTTCGTACGTGCATAGCTGCACGAGTGCTCCCTGTACGATTCACATTTATAGCTCTCTTTCGCATTGTGTTTCTGTTCCAGGTCGTTCAGGGTACGCCAGCGTATGAGCGAAGATGGCGTCATCGAAATGATCGGAGACATTCTCTGCGAAAGTGTGAGTGGTGCTGCTCGACTTTCAGTAGGCTTTGTTTATATTTTTTTGTTATTTTTTTCGGTCTTTTTTTGTTCTAGTAGCCTCTGTGCACTTGCGCTTGTTTGTAAGGAACGCTTTCGTTTGTTGCCCAGATTTTTTTTTTTTCATTTCTGTCTTATCAGTCATTTAGCGACCCTAATCAGCTAAGACATGTCGTGAGGGCCTAGAGCGCTGCCCTGTCCTGCATGGATCACCGCTGTTTGTATCTTACACCATGTCCTGGATCAAGGGCGCCTCATCTAAGATATCATCCGAAGTGAAGATGTTCGCTCTCTCACACTCCCTCCAGCCCTGTTTGTGTGCGCACAGGCAGGTATTCCTTTATCGCCTTTATTATAATTTGTGCCTATCTCGGGAGGTGACCCAAGTAGCTTGGCGCTTGACTGTACTGAACTACACCGTTCCTGTGCCTGCCTTCCTTTTTTCTCGTCTCGTCTCTCTCTCTCTCTCTCTCTCTCTCTCTCTCTCTCTCTCTCTCTCTCTCTCTCTCTCTCTCTCTCTCACACACACACACACACACATACACACACACACTATCTATCTATCTATCTATCTATCTGTCTATCTATCTATCTATCTGTCTATCTATCTATCTATCTATCTATCTATCTATCTATCTATCTATCTATCTATCTATCTATCTATCTGCCTATCTATCTCAGTATACTTCCCTTTTCCTCTATACTTTGAAGCACGAATTTTTTTATTGCGTTGAGTATCTGGCAGAACGTGCCTGTTGTATGCGTTTCAAGCATCTCGGCAGCCTTTGTTGCCCGCTGTGTTTGCTGAGCAGATGTAATGGGTGCGAAGCTGCCGTTCTCGCCATGTCGATCGGAGCGCCAGACCTAACACACTGAAGTGAATTCGGCGAGAAAAGCGTACCTCGAATTAGGCCACGATGCGCGCGCCTAGCTAGCACTCCGTCAACTAAGGTCACTAGGGTTCTCGTATCGTTTTCTTGTCGACCAGGTACACTGCAGGCTAGATGAGGAAATGTTCCATTTTTTTAATTGGGTAATGAAAGAGGGTCCTACTCTGGGAAGGCGGTCTTTCCGTGCCTGTCCCGCTCATTGGCACCATGCTTAATTTTAGAAAGGGGAAAAAGAAAACTAATGACTGTTTTTCTTTTGCAGCAATTCCGCTCCCGTAATAAAAAATGATGATTGTATCGCTTACGTAGCTGCCTTACCTGACTCCGTACGTGAGGTTCTGCAGCTGCCAGGTGCGGTCCATGGCCTTCATTCAGCAGCGGTCCGAGAACGACCCTCGCTTCAAGGCGTTCACCAGGGTAGGCGTCTCCTCTCTTTGTGTCCTTTAGAACGTGGTATCACGTGCCGTGCGATTTGCTGTAGCGCTTGTCCGCTTACCCCTTTCGTGTGTTCAGGAGTTTTGCAAGAACCCGCGAACGCGAGGCATGCCGTTCACCAGTTTCCTGCTCAAGCCCATGCAGAGGATGACCAAGTATCCTCTCATGATCAAGAAGGTACGTCGAAAGTTGTCAGCAGTGGGCGTATGGATCGAAATGCCTTACTACGTGTTGTGTCGTATGAAATCCCCTAATGAAGTAACCAGTTAGAGCAGGTTCATATCCTCAAAACTTATTTAGCGCAATGAAAATGGGGCACAGTTTAAGCAACGCAGCGACGCGCTTGACCTGATGTTCAAGATGGAAGTCATATAGGTTCCTCAGAAAGCGCGAAAATTTGGCCGTCGCGATCTCGCGTCGTCGGCGCCAACGCGAGTAATCCAGGAATCATCATCCCGTCATGGCGTCGCCAAATGACGTCGTTATGTCGTCACTGTGAGGATGACGTCATCTCGTAATACTCTTGCTTAGTCATATGCGTGCGTATTCAAAAGTGAGGTGTGAAAAGCTTTCGTGTGGAGGGGGGTTATCACTACTACATGGTCTGTGAAGAAACGCAAGATTGGTTTAGCCTTCGAGGCGGATTAGGCGAATGCTTAAGAGAGCCTGCGATGGTTCTTTGTTCCCGTCTTTTGCTGTGCCTAATATAAAGCCTCGAAGATGAGAGCGCATCACCGACGTTTATTATGCGCCATATTTTGAGTTCGCTGCGAACGTGCGTACACAACTTGATGCGTGACGCAGATCCGTGAGTACACGGACGCCAGTCACCCGGACCTGGGCTACCTGGACGAGGCGCTGGAGAAGGCCGAGCAGCTCTGCAGCCAGATCAACGAGGCTGTCAAGGAGCGCGAGAACGCCGATCACCTGGAGTGGGCGCAGTCGCACATTCAGTGCAACGGGATCTCCGAGAGGCTCGTCTTCAACTCGCTCACCAACATCCTCGGCTCCAGGAAGTTCCTCCACTCGGGGTCCCTCACCAAGGTGCGCACACGCGACCGTGAACCCGGGGTACAACATGAATGTTAATTAGGGTAGCCGTTAATTAATGAAAGCGCGCGTATACTGACATAACGAGTGACAGTTGCATATTTCCCTGTTTCCAGCGTTGTCTGTTGAAGCTAGGATGGTTCTTTCATGTTTAATCTATCTGCTGTAATCCACTCAATACCAGAACATCCTGGGGCAATTAACGGCGACGCACAAGAACATAACCTCATACGCAGTAATTTCAATGTCGTGCTGTGTGAAACAGACTCGTTCATATTAACTTTCTTCCGCATTATGACGAAGCCACTTGTTTGATATAATCATAATTGCTGGGGTTTTACTTTGCAAAACCATGATATGATTAATAGAGACGCCGTAGTGGAGGGCATCGGAATTTCGATCCCCCGGGGTTCTTTAACGAGCACCCAAGTCTAAGCACACGGGGCTTTCGCATTTGCCTTTCGGTTAAGTATGGCCGCCGCGGCCGGAGATTCGATCCCTCGACCTTCGGGTCAGCCGTCAAGTGCCGTAAGTAGGAGACCACCGCTCTCGTTTGGCTTGCGCGTAAAGAACACCGTTGCGAGCTCCCGCGATACCCCGACGAGTACGCCTTCACGTAACAACGAACGAACGCAGGTGAAGAGCGGCAAGGAGCTGGTGGGCTTCCTGTTCAACGATTTCCTCCTGCTGGCGCAGCCGATGCGCGACGTCGGCAGGGTCACCAACGTATTCATGTCCGACAAGGCGATGAACGCCTCCTACAAGCTGTACAAGCAGGTGGGTCGCACTCGTCTCTTTGTTTTTGTTTGTTTGACCCTATATATAAATTTTTTTCAGTGTTAGTTGTTATAGTCTAGAGTAACTTTTTAACACGTCTGACCTACGTTAGCATGTGAGCATGAACATAGCTAGGAGACGTAGATCCGCAGAAACAGTGCGGGATGCTTGTTCCGCGATTGTGCTTGCTGTGTTGTCACCCCGCGTCTTATTATTTTTTTTTCATCTTTTAACATTTCTGTACTTCGTTTCGTCGCGCCTTTCTCGCGTCCTTTCTGTCCTCTCTTTCCTTCCCCACCCAGCATGTGAGCGATTACTATAGACTATAGATTTTACGGATGGGTTTCATTGCTGTCACAATAGGCTGTTAACAACATTTGTGCTTCATGCGTCTTTAGCAACTAAACGAACAGTGCTACGGTATAGACGCATACGCATGAAAACTATTGCGTTGGTCCATCCAATGTTTCATGTCTTTATTATTTCCGGTCATAACATACAAAAATAAGAAAACATTGCCTTAACAGCCCAAAATGGTGGCGCCCACATGTCCTAGGTAAAATAGTTTATATGCCGGCTAAATTATCTGTCTTCCGATAAAGAGCTCTCTGACTTTCTTTCTGTCGTTTGCTCCGTAGTTCTTGTTTAGTTACGGGCGTCGGTGCAATTACGGATCAGCAGCCTCGTAAGGGTGAGGGGGGGGGGGACATCAAAGACGACTTCATTTAGTTCACTCAAGCTGATACACATCGCCTGTACGCAGAACCTGCTAAAAAAAAAAAAAAGATGTGAATTACGGTTCTCTGTCTCTCGCTTCTAACCCGGCGCAGCCCCTGTTCCTGAACACCGTGCTGGTGGAAGACTGCTCGGACGGAGCGGGCAGCCCGTCGGACGACACCTTCCAGATATCGGTGCCCGACGCACCCCGGAACGTTCTTCGAGCGGCCAACGCCAACGAGAAGTACGCAGCTCACCTATTTACTCCTCACCTCCGCGCATTTAGTCAGGATAGGTGGTGGCCGACTAAGTTAACGTGGTATGTTTCCTAATGGTTAATATGTTCGCCTGTATACAAAGTAGCACTGTAGTGGCTACTGGCTTCGTCATCTTGCATAGGTTCTCGCGGCTAGTCCTCGCTGTTCGGCTCGTGGAAACGGGGGCCTCTTTTGTGGCGAGGTATTGTATAGTTCAGCGGCTGCACTTCCGCACCGAAAACTCTTGCCCCCGTGTGCACGCCCGCCTCCTATACCTTATCGCTTTAATGGGGGTGCTCATTTTCATTCATTATGGTAGTTCACGACACTCGAAATGGTAATGCGCCGTGATTTGCTGTTATTTAGGGGCGAAAGAACTCAGCCTAATTATAGAAAATGAAGTGTGTGCCTCTGCGCAAGTTACCGTGTCCGACCCACGGTTCAACAGCGTCTCGTGCAAGTGACAAAGTTATGAATGGTTGCTGAAAGACATCTTTTCGCTCAGGGGCGGTGGCAAGGCGGGCGCAAGGGGGAGAGGCAGCTTCCTCTCTAAGATTACCGCCTACCTCCACCCCTCCTCGCCCGTTCCCAAGAGCAAACTTATTCAGAACAATGCCTATAAGCTTCCAGTCTCCCGATGAAGGAACTCAATTCTCTTGAGTGCGCCCCCCCCCCCCCCCCACCAGTAAAGAAAAAATGCTGGCGCTGCCCTTGTTTATGTAGGAAACAGCAGAAGCTTGTTTTATGTGAGGCAGTTATAACTTAGAAGTGTGGCAGCTTGGGCTATAGTTGGTATGGCATGACGATAGTTATAGCGCGGGAACAGAACGACGACACAGAGACAGGAAGGACGTGTCTTTCGTGTCCTTCTTGTCTCTGTGTCGTCGTTCTGTTTTCGCGCTATAACTATCGTCATGCAGTTATAACGTTTAGGTGGGAAAGGCGCTATGCGGTGCTCGGTCTGGCATTCGGTATCAAGACATCGCCCCTATTTACGAGTGGAGACTGAAGAAGGAACCATAATAGTCCCTTCTCCTCCTGTCCTTTCCTGGAAATGGCGTCTCGTGTGTGTTTGCGTGCGTGTTTGCGCGTGTGTCTGCTCATGCATCTTCTTTCTGCATCCCCGGCGCAGGCTACTGTGGGTCAAGAAGATCAAAGAGGCGGCGCACAACTACCGCGACACGGAGGCCAAGAAGATGAAGGTCTCAGGTAAACACGCGACGGGGCGCTCTTTTTCCCAACCCTTCCGGTTCGCACTCGTTCGTGCCGATTCTGCAGCCTTGTTTATCTTTTCTTTCGCGTCTTCTTATCTATCCGTGACTTGTTCGAGTCGCTCTCTAGTAGACGGCGCATCGTGTAGCGGAAGTGTCCGATTTGCGTAACGGCTAGATGACGTGACGAGGTCGTTATAGCTGCCATCGTGCTCTCGGGAGAAAGGCATTATCAAATGTAAAATAGCGCGTGGTGAATGCTTGTTTGCGAAGCATGCCGCGCTTCGCTCGGCTTCATGCGTAACTTTATGCGTATTCACCATTACGCTTTCGACGTCGCGCCATAGCCGATAACCGTTCGGAACGAGCTCGAATGGAGGAGAAAATCCCACGTCGCGACTGCTGCGTTTCAAGTCACGACGACTTTGAAACGTTATGCGAACGTCGAACGTTTGTCAAATTTCGCGCAAGTGATTCGTAAACGCAGCTGGTTTGCTCCCTCGCTGCACGCTGAGATTGCTGCCGAAGCTCTCCATGTGGTACGTTCTAAGACTTAGAACATTTTTACATAGAAAACCCCACTCGTAATAAGTCGAAAGTAACAGAGCAGGCGTTTTTTGCGTCGGCGCCCTTCGCGCCGAGTGTCATTAACATTTCTTCTCGCGGAGAGAAACGAATGCTGAAGATTTCTGAGTGGAAGTTCTACATGTTTTTTTTTTTACTTCACATCTAGTTACCAAATATCTTTCCATAGCTTTTTTTCATTAAAAAAAAAAAAACACGTGGAGAAAGCATCAGCGTTTAGAACGAAAAGAAAACGGCATAGTTTACAGATTCTCGAAATGTGTTTTCGATGCAGAGTTATAAATATTTTTACAGAATGTTCCAGCGCTCTTTTTTTTTTCTCCTAATACCAGGTTGCGGAAATTCGATGCCTCAGATGGCGCCTCAAGAAAGGTTAAACAGTATTAGAAGTTACGAAAGTTAAACAGTATAGTAATAGCATATACAGCGCTAAGTTACCCAATGTGTGATCATCATCATGTACCGACGAACCCGAAAGAGTGCTTCACCACTTCAATCGAGAAAGTGCAGAGTTATTCATTACTCACGTGTCTCGTTCTTCTAGGTGATTTTCGCCGAGCCCTCTTGTGAACTGAATGCAGTGCCGCCTATCGCGAGTACTGTTATCGAACTTTTGCACCCTTCTCACCTATCCGCCTTGTTTTTTTTTTTTTTTCCTCCCCCTGCGCACCACCGCGTGCAGCCAAAGCGCAGAAACTGAGCGGCGTCGGCCGCCTGCTAGTTGTCGTTGTCGAAGGCCGCAACCTGAGAAGCGGAGCGGCGCACGGTAAGAAGGATCGACTCCCCGCGCAGCCGGTGCCTGTCTTGCACGTGTGCGCAAAGGGGAGAAAAACAACCGCGCATGCGTCGTCCTGCATTCGTCTTCTCGTCCTGCTCGTGTGTGGCCACTAACAGCACGTTCACGTTTTTCGCGGGCATCGCCATCTCTTGGTGTGTTCTGTGAAGGCATGAAGTAACTCTCTGTCTCGGTTTTTTTTTTTTAACTCCTCTTTCGAAAGTTGCACACACACTTGCAGCTGTAAACGTTGGCTGTATACGCTCTGAGAAAAAAAAAGGAATACAGTATTTGGGAAGCATCTCTGCAAATCAGTTGTAGTCGTCACCCCGCCGCGGTGGTCTAGTGGCTAGTGGCGGTGGTCTAGTGCGAACACATACCTGCATACACGAACGCACATATATGTCCCGCCGCGGTGGTCTATTGGCTAAGGTACTCGCAGGTCACGGGTACAAATCCTGGCTGCGGCGGCTGCATTTCCGATGGAGGCGGAAATGTTGTAGGCCCGTGTGCTCAGATTTGGCTGCACGTTAAAGAACCCAAGGTGGTCGAAATTTCTGGAGCTCTCCACTACAGGGCGTCTCTCATTATCACATGGTGGTTTTGGCACGTTAAACCCTACATATCAATCAATCAGTTGCTATCGTCATCTAGTTTGTCCTCGTTTTCTTTCTTCAAAAACCTGGCTCTTTCCACTTCCTTTCCTGCCAATAATGCTGCGTGACGCTAATAGCGCACACGTTTTTCGTGCCTGGGAAGTGTTGGGGCTGCTTTGGTAACGCGATGAAATTGCACAATGAAGATGAAAATTATATTTGCGTAGTAAAAATATTCCCCAAATACTCGATTTTTTTTTCTCAGAGTGTCACAGAGCGACTGGATGTATGCATGCACTCTCTTGAGAGGCGTGAGCACTCTTACAAACGGTGTAAAATTAGGCACAAGTATACACTCTAAAAAAAAAGTGCGAGTAAAAAGGGCGTCTTTTTGTCCCACAAGAATAATCGTCATCTATATTGCGTTCCATCCTTGCGCTATCGCCCCGCGCCCGGTACATTGCGGTCACGATCGACATGCCCATTATCAGGGTTACATTGCACTCTCGATAGGAAAGTCGCCAGCGCCGAGTTTTCAAGAAAGGAAGCGCACGCAAGCCTGATGACGATTATTGTTGTGGGACAAAAAGACACCCTTTTTCTCGATATTTTCTCAGAGCGTATATCTATACTCGCAAAAAGGAGTTACCAGCGTTGCACCATTGTTAATTGTCTCCTTTTGGGAGTGTGTTTACGTGTGCTGGCGCCGGCATTTATGAGCGCAAACCATTATAATTTTTAATATTAATATTTTAAGCGATAAATTGAAGTAAATCAAAGGAAGCTGTTTGGAAAGCATGTCCAGTGTATATTGAAGCGGCTTCCCATGAACTTGATGGAAAACTTGCAGTTCGCTCTCTTCATTAGCAATTCACCATTACCCGTCGTGCGCGATGAACAAGAAGAAATGGACAAAAAATATTTACAGTCAAGCTACACTCGTTCACGTCGTGGTTTTTTTTTTCAAATGATAATTTACGTTTCAAAACAAACAGATGCATTATCTGTCCTTCCGGTACACTTCTGCGTATGCGCAGTTCGTGCTCTTTTCGAAGGGCTCTGATAACGCTCTGCACGAATCACTTCAGCTTTCCTCGCCATTCTGATGTAGAATTTCAATCTGTGTATTTTTACTTCTTGAGATTAGGTTTGTGAGCGGGAAAAAGCTGACGCTTTACAAAACTACAGAGTTCGTACCTTGAAATCCGTTGTACATTCTCGTTCGTATTGGCGTCGGCGACCGTACACAAGGGATGTTTTTTTTTTTTTTTCACGGGCTTGGCTGTTCCTTTTGGACCATATCTGCGCGTGTTTGCTTGTGCCTGGCGACGTGTGGTGTGCGCGATGACTAACGTGTGGCGCATGCGTGCTCGCTTGCATGTGACGTCCACCTCTTCGTCGTGCACAGTGACCCGGAGACCAGCTGTCGGCCAATTAAAGCTAGTCGTAGTGCAAGCATGCGATCTCAACCTGAAGGACGTTCAAGGTACGCACTCACATGTACAACGGAAAAAACGAATCGAACTTGTCACATGTATAGTGACAGGCTTAGAGTGAAAAATGGCAAGTGCCTGACCGTTTGTGAAGTTACAACAGTTGGCTAGATGCGTCGGTAATGCTTACAAGTGTTGAGTCTTTTCCGGAACCAGAGCAAATTGGAGTGGGGGGGGGGGGGGGGGGCTGTAGCAGAGCATGGGCGCGAATTTTTTCGCATTTATGCGAATCATTAGGGAATACTCCAAATGTATCTGGTGCTTCTGCAGCTATTCAGGTGGAAATGTCGTTATGTCTAAGTTTTTGTTGTTCAAGTGTACTATGCATTTCTACGCGTGGTTTATGAGATTCCTCATTGATGAAACTGTCCGGATGCATTGAATATTTTTAATATATCTACAATGGTTTTCCGTTGCCGGTGGGGCTCGTGAAGTTATGAATAATATAGGTTTCATGTTTATGCAATCTTGTAATTCTTTCCACGCAAGGATATTTATTGTTGGTTTTATCAGCAAAAATAAGCTTCAAACGCGGTTTGACGTGTGCGTACATTTCCATTATACAATCTGCCAAATTAAATCGTAAAGCACAGAGGTATATGTGTGTGTTTTTTTATTTACGCATTATGACGCATAATGCTGCATCTTTTTCATTAGCAAGTAACCATTGTGTTTGATTCGTTGTTTGCTTGTGCAAGAACGCCTACATGTTGCATGGCAGGTACTAACCGCACTGTGCATGCGAATGCTCGCCGTTGTCTCACCGTTTCGCTCTGCTCGGGCACGAAACGGTGGAGGTTTTCGCGCATTGCGTTTTCGATTTGAAATGATAACACTGTTCTTTTACACATTTATCCAGTGCTTTTCTTTGATTGCGAACTGCAACCGTTTCTGTGTCGCTTAAAATAAAGAGTTCGGTGGCAATGGTTAATTAAATAGCGAAATTTGGTACGATTTATGTGTTATAGGGAACTTTTTTCATGATGCGTAATTAAAGTTATGACGTTGTAAATGGCTTTCATGAGATGGTATGGTTTAATTTAACAAAGTATTGCGACGTTCTCGCGAAGATCGGGCAAGGCCTATTTGCGCTCACTGTCGTTGGAAACCGGTAAAAGACATCTGTAAGACAGATACGACGCCGCGTTATGTAAAAAAAAGTAGAAAAAGGGCTACTTTCCATTGTAATGGAACTACATACCCAGCTTTTAGGTATACCGAGCTTCGATAAGCTTATCTGTACGTAGACGTTCATATGATGCCTATGCCGTACCAAGGAATGCTATTTCGTGTTTGTCTTCTCAGATCGGCCATATCGAAATATGCCAACCCCTCCCCTCCCCCACGGGGGTAGCACAGGAAGCGTAAAGCGTGACACCGAGTGAAGGGAATAGTGTTTTATGTTTCGTGGTAGGGTATAGGCCCATGGAACACACGAACTTACTTCTTACTTCATTAGTAATGCAAGCACTGTGTACCTCGCGCGAGGAAACTCAAATTTGAAACTTTGTTTCAAAGCGAAAAAAAAAACAATTTTGCAAGGGAGTGCGGCCCCCTGCCATTCTTTTACTTGTGTTTATGTCGTATTATCATCATTACGAGATTATCGATGAGCGCAGTACGTTTCAGCTATGCTAGATAGTTTACGAACGTCGCTTGTTTCAGAGGGAATGTCCGGTGATGTTGTAAAGTTGGAGTGCTTGTCGTTTTTCCGGCGTTGTAGACGCCACCAAACAGTGTCCCGTGTACCGTAATCACGGATTGAAACGCGAGAACTTAAGGCAAAGTAATCCGCTTACTATCGTCTTTTTTAGCAAGTGCAGTTTGTGTCACATCGCTGTGATTTTGACTCGAGGGCTTACGTCACAGCCGAAATTACCTTTTGGGGGCCAGATTTGCAGCGATATGACGCGGTTATCGCGAGCCTTTGCTTGTAGCAGCCTTCATAATAAATGATGTCGCGTTTCAATGCACGGGTATCGTATACCTGTCCTAAGCAACGTTTATCGGCGTTGGCGAGGTTCGTTGTGGTGAACTGTAATGAGTATACAGTTTTCAGGAGCGCCGGGCTCGTTTTCGTCGGAGTTTTTTATCGCGTGCTCATTCTTCCGCGCGTCTCTCCTATGACGCGTCTCTCCTGTGATGCGTCTCTCCTGTGATGCGTCTCTCCTACGACGCTCTAGGCCAGTGCGACCCGTACTGCGAGGTGAGCATGGCCTGCCAGGAGCACAAGACGCACGTCGAGACGGCCACGAGCAGCCCGCAGTGGAACAGCTCCATGCAGTTCCTGGTCAGGGACCTGCGTAGGGACGTCCTCTGCATCACCGTCTTCAACCGCGAGCTCTTTTCGCCCAACGGTGAGCATATTGGGGGTGTGGCGTAGATCGTATTTGGTATGCTATCTCACGATCGCAAAGGCGCACGTTGAAATGCGAGAAAATGGAACGAATACGGATAATAATAGTAATACCTATAAACTGTAGTGGTTGCTTGGCCATGTTGGTATACGACATATTGGAAGGGAACAGTGCGAAAGACGAGAGACGGCAGGCAAACAGGAACACATACAACAGCGGTGTGTGTCCTTTACTGCCAGGTCTCTCGTCTTTCGTGCTGTTTCCCTCCAGTAATATCTAAGGTTCCACGTGCGAGAAAATGTGATATGAATACGAGGCACGCGTTAGTGGAAGGCTCCGGGAATTTTGACCGTCCCGTGTTCTTTAACGGGCACTGACGATCGCACAGTGCGCGGGCTTCCGGCGTTTCGCCGCTATCGAAATGTGACCGCCACCAGCGAGGTATACGAACCAGCGACCTTCGTGTCGACACCGGAGCACCGTGACCACGGATACCACCACCACCGCGCACAGTGATAGAGGAATAGACAAGTAGTTGTGCACAGCGATACTAAGCAGCAATACCCGGGCCGGTGGTTTTGTGGTTATACGATGCTCGATTGCTGACCCGAAGGTCGTGGGATCGAATCCCGGCCACGGCGGCCGCATTTTCGATGGCGACGAAAGGCTAAAGGCCCTGGTTTCTCTGATTTAGGTGCACGTTGAAGAAGCCTATAGTGTGCCGAAATTTCCGAAGCCCTCCTGCCAGTACGGCGTTCCTCATAGTCATCGCGGGGTTTTGTGGACGTAACACCCCGACAATCACTACGACAGTCAGCAACAATAGTGACCTCATTAATTCTATGTTGGTGTGTCTGTGCACCACGAAGTTTAGAACTACAAATTTGCCGCAGAGAGAATTCTGGAGCAAATGCAGAATTTCCGTCGTTCACGTGCCGTGGAATTTCTGGTCACTGATTTAGGTCCGATGTTCGTGCCAGCGACTTCATTATCGCGAACGTAGATGGAACACATATTCTATATGAAGAAAGGGACAGAAGACACATGAGTTCCCACACCACCGAACATCATGCGTAGTACCCATCTTCCTGTAATAATAATAATAATAATAATTAAAAGGTGGCAGGTGGCACTGGGAGTCAAACCCATTACCTCCGGTGTTGAGCACTGCGGCGAGGTAATGTTGATATAAGAGGAGCGCCTAGTCTTGCGAGTACTATCTTCTTGTATTCGACGTGGCGCGTCGAAAGGTGGCCCGATTTCCTCTCCGTGGCTCTCTATTTCCGCTTTCCTTTCATGTTTATTTTATTTATTTTTTGCCGCTCGTTTATTTTCTTCTCCCCGTGTCATATCGTCACATTCGGGGAAGGTTATAAGTGAGGATTGCGTCACATGCTCGACTGTTTTTCATGCTCTGCTTCTCTCCGAACATAGGCAAAATTTGCCGCCCCCTTTTAAAGTGTGCGACGTTTACGGCTGTATACACTGTGGCCTCTTCGCGCAAAAAGGGAACGTTTAAACCTTTCCGTTTCACTGAAACGCTTGCTGCGAACCGAAGACGCAGTCATGCTCAAAAGAAAGGCAATGAGGGAGCGCAAACAATTGCCTTCACACCGAGAATTCTGCCCCTTTCCGTTCTTCTTATTCTTATTTTCAGACCGTATGGCTAAGGCCAGTGCCGTCGCGGCAGCGACAAGCTTTCCTTCCAGCGCACAACGCGATGTTTGAGTACGTAATCCCCCGCGCCACTTGTTCTGCTTTATGATGATCTTTTTTTTTTTTTTTGCTATACGTGCCTTCTAGTACTTTACGTGCCCACTGGAGCTACGAACGCGTCGCCTGTATTCCACGCGCAGTGAGTTTTTTATACGTCTAAATTGAAAAAAAAAATTTAAATAAGAAAATGACGGCGTGGTGTGTCGACGCGCGAAATCATCTTCGTCCCATCTATACGGACGCAGCAGCGCGTGCTTTCAGGAAGCGAGAGCTGACCAGAAATCTGAAGCGTAAGGGACAAAGGTCGGTGGTGCATTCCGTTATTTTTTTGTCCGTTTTTTTTTTTCGTTATGCGAAGACATCTTTAAATTTACACTCCCGCGATTTGTGAAGAGGGGTGAAAGGGGACCTGGCCTACCGTACTTATTCGCACACTACCAGCTCTGTCTGATTTGCTTTGACTCGTATAGGCAGTTGTTGGACTCATTGATTGTTTTTAGGGGCGAAGATCCTAAAGCCGTGGGTCTGTCCCTCCTTATAGCTCGTACGTGACCGCCTAGTTCGATGACAGACGGATGGACAGACAGACGCAGACGTCATTATGATGTGTGCCTCATAATCTTTATGTGATGTCGCCACGTAAAATCCCAGACATTTATTATTGTTAATTAATTAATTTATTTAATTAATTATTTATTTATTCAATACTACCAGCCACCCTTTGGCAGCCAACGCAGGAGTGGTACTGAGCAGAGTTTGAACACAAAGTTTACAGGTAACCAGTAACACGGTCCGCGGTACACAGGGAAGCAATAATGCAGTAAGCTTACAGATTGTCACGACACACAAGCGTGCGCAATCAGTAGCACGGCCCACGATTCGCAAAGCAGCAGTAATTCTCGTTACAGATAGCTACGTGAATATACAATAAAACCGGCCATGCTAGTCTAATGGAAAACACACAAATTATTATTATTATTATTATTATTAGTAGTAGTAGTAGTAGTAGTAGTAGTAGTAATAGTAGTAGTAGTAGCATATATTATTATTATTTTTTATCCTTCCATGTCTCTTCACCGTGTGACCAAGATCACCGTGTGACGGTGTATCCTGGTCGCAATAACGGCGCCACCACAGCGGGCACCTGTGATGACGCAGTTCAGGCGCGGTCTTTCAATTTCTCTGCCGTGAATAACGGCTGACAGCGCCGACGACAAGAACAGCGCGCTTTACAAAGGAAAGAGAGCGTGAGAAAAATGCACGGACGGACCGTGTTGTTAGCGGCAGCTCGCGACCACCGGCGTTATGATGCAACTGGGACGCACGTCCGCTATCAAGGGAAGCGAAGAGAGTGAGGGTGTAGAACGACACGCAAAGTTAGTTGTGAGAGAAACGTAAGTGGTATGTCTGCAGTCGCCCTGCGTCCACCGAGCGTCAGGCTAACCGCCGGCGCGTCGACGTTTTTAATACGCCGGCGCTTGGCGTATGCGTTTCCTTAAAGCCCAAACTCCATAAGCGCGAAAATGCACGCGACAGCGACGAGCGACGCGACGTAGATCGGCGTCGCGCGATCAGTCGCTAGCGCAGGCAAACCTCATTCACGCGACGGCTTCGGCGAGCGAATTCCACTGTTGCTGGCATGAGGCCGTCTACTCGCACCTAGAAAACCGCGTAGTGAGTAGTATGCAATTTAAAAATAAGATATATTGTTGTGTAATGGAACGGAAAGTGTTTATTATTGCCTTGCAGCACTTCTTTGATATGCACATGCGCAAACATTGCGTTATTTCTTGTTGCGCATACGTGACTCGGGCAGGGTCACGTGCACCCGCGTAGTCTTTGTCTTTTCCGGTATTTCGCTATTGGCTGCTTGAGCCCAGCACTTCCGGGCGATGAGCGACGGTTTCCAAATCTGTGGAACCGAGCGATCGCGCGAAAACGAGCACGCGACACGTCGCGCGAACGCCCTGTTTCGTCGCTCATAGCGTCGCTCGTCGCTGTCGCGTGCATTTTCGCGCTTATGGAGTTTGGGCTTAAGCGTTTCCCGCGATGCGTACGTGTCATGCAGCGAAGGGACAAATCATTCGCGGCGTTGTCGCACAGAGGCTAGAGATTACCCGACGCTGCCTGCATGTTTCCGTCTCGGTGGTCTCCGTTGCGATGTGGCGGAAACAGATGTCATAGGATGTGCGACGTGTTTTCAGCGCCGTGTTTTTAAAGATGATAGTCTTTCTTGGGGACCTTCGACGCTAAAACTTTGGTCTGTCTGTCTGTCTGTCTGTCTGTCTGTCTGTCTGTCTGTCTGTCTGTCTGTCTGTCTGTCTGTCTGTCTGTCTGTCTGTCTGTGCACATTTGTCTGTTTGTCCACTCTTAACGACACCGAGTACTCGAAACGGGTGGCCCCATCCGCAGCGCCCACCACTGTTGCTCAAGGTTTATAGCGTTCATACTTGTGCAATTGTCAATTAATAAGCAATTATTGCGCAATTCTGGGGCACCATAATAACAACACGTATGTATTCTGCATGTGCATCTTTTACTAGAAAAGGCTTACATAAGTAATTTTAGGGACCGTTGCGCTTATCACGCTGCGCTGACCATGCAACGCTTGCACGGAAAGGTGAATGTTTCCAACGCTTTGCTAAGACGCGATGGTGGTGGCACCTACCCGTCGCCTTGAGGTCTACACCTTATCACCTCTGAGACGGGAGCGCACGCCTGTCTCAGAGCCACGCGTTTCGTTTTCAAAGAAAACTGCCAGATAGCGCTCATGTCTCACGTGTGACGTGACTTGATGCGCTCGTTTGCCTCCGCTGCACGATCAAGGCACTCTAACGCAGCGCCTTCAGAATACCATTCACCTATTTTTTTTTTTTTTGCGTAGAACATCAGATAAATGTTTTTTTTACCCTCTCCACACGCAAGACTATCGTCTTTCGACGACATTTGCAGATTAACATGCAGATACGGGGCCATTTTTGTTTCTGTCCTTGTCATTCTTAGCGCTATCTGGTTTCCCTTTGTATCCTAACTTACCATGTCCATATTCTGTTTTTGTTACTGTCGCTCCTAGGACGCCGACAATTAGCGCGTTGTTTTGTTGGCTCTGTGTCAGTGCGTTCCCATGTGTGAAAGTAGTCTCCCTAACGAATTTGCCTTCTCTTTAGCGTCAGTCTTTGCCGAGTTGCTTTCGCGATGTAGCTCATAGTGCGAAGGATGCGATACCGTGGGCTTTGTGACAGTACATCTGTATGGGGTGCAGTTTGTATAGCGTTGCCCAAGAGTATACGAAGGCTGCTTATAACTCGGCATTAACCTGCACGCTATATCACGCTTTCACAGATGACGTTTTCCTGATTATTCTCGCGGCGAGTCCGGAGGACAGCCACCATTGCATTGTTCAGTATTAATATTAATATAAATTACCTTTTAGTCGTGACCTATCAATTGCATTTCGGGAAAGTTCTTTCTTGTAAGCATGCGAAGCCTATGATTCAATTAATTTATCGCATAAAGTTGGTTTTTATTCTTCACGTTGACTTACTCGTACTCGTACTACTGCTCAGACATCCATAGGCGTTGGCGTTTAAGGAATGGCTCTTTAATCGTTCAAGTGTATATCGTACACCACTCTTTGACGCCCTTTAGACGACACGAAGGTCAAATATCGTTGCCCGTGGCGATTTCAGAAATCATAAACTTCAACTTCACATTGTACGGATAGGAACTGTCTGGTTTTCTGTGATAACGCATGCTGTGATTTCCGGGAAAAAAAACGTATATACAACTCTTTGAAGCTATACTCCCCACAAATAGACTATCGGAACAGCGCTGGACGTCTTCTGTTTTGGCTTTCACGTGTTGCGTTTATCCATTCATTAGTTATTCAAGGCGCCAACTAGCCAAATTGTTATGTGTGCTGGTTTGTCTTTACACTTCTTCCACTGATCTATTATACTTTGAGCCAATGATAGAACGCAATGATGCGCACTATAACGGCAGATCGCGGTGTTTATTTTACTCTATCCGCCCTGATATTCTCTATCCCTTCTTTACCCACATAACATTAAAAACGCATTACTACTGCGTCTTTCTCGCTCCTATAGGCCAAAGTGGCCTTTGTGCTATGAGAGAGACCGCGTGGAGCGAAACCCGTGCTGTTGACCGCAGTTCTTCGGTAGACGAAATTGCACTGGAAAATACAGCGTGGTCGGCATTTCCTTCCCGTTATGTACTCTGTATCACATATAGACGGCCACTTACTGCAGCGTGATCCTGCTGCATCCGGTCGTTCCTGTCTGGCGCGAGATTTTTCAGCATTGTCAATCGTTTGTATAGCGTCTGTCATGCGTGCGCGCTGCCCTACAAAATAAGTGAATGCCAACTATCCTGCTTTCCGCTGTACATAGCTATTTCATTTGATCTATGTGTCTATTTGTTCTATTGTTCTACTTGTACAACATCCCTTCTTTTTTGTTGTTTTTTACGGCAGTTTATTTGTTAAAATCCTGGATTTCCAAACTGCGGCCACGTACAGCCGCGGTCAAGTCTGTGTAGAGCACGCGAAAAGCCGGCTTTCGCTCCGCGGGGCGAAACCTCGAGGCAGTAGAGAGTTTTAGTACTGCGTACGCTGCGTACGTGGCGGCGTTGCGTACGTAAGTACGTCACGTTCTGCGTAGTGCGCATGCGCAGACCGCAACGCGCACGTATCGCATTACGTACGCAGCCGCTACGTACGCACGCATGAGATGCGTGCGTGCGTACGTATGAGGTGATCGCGCCGCTCTCGAACAAGTTCGCGACAGCGCGAGACTTCGTTTTTGCAAAATGGCGGCATCGAAGGCAAGCGCCACGGAGGAACCCTTCCTTCCTCCGTGGCAAGCGCCGACCGGCTCTGTGGCTTAAAATATTGCCATAATGTGGCTATAACACTTGAATTGGCTCACATTGGCTGTCAACAACACGTGCTTCTATTTTGATCTACCAGACGGCGCAACACGCTTCTCGCTCGTTACGTACGCGGGTACTACGGCGTACTAAGAGCCGATGAGTCGCAAACGACGCCACGTAACGCAAGGCGCTTGCGTGATGCGTACGTAGCACCATTCCGCAGTACTAAAACTCTCTAATTTCGGGATCTTAAGTGCTGTATCAGAAGCATGTGCGGCCTATAGCTGTCAGGCTAACCACATCAGAGCCCGAAACTGCCTCGAGGTTTCGCCCCGCGGAGCGAGAACCGGCTCCTCGCGCGCTTTACACAGACGTGGCCGCGGCTGTACACGTGGGCCTGCAGGTGCACTCTCACGTGATTTTATAACCGCTTCTCTCCTGAGGAGCTACCCCCAACTCTTGTTGGAAATAAAGATTTATTTTTGTTTCCATTCGATTTCGTCCTCTTTATTCTATGTGCCGTCAAGACTTCCTCGGCCGCACCGAGGTTCGCGTGTGGGACATCGTGCGGGAGACCCGGCAGACGCGGGGTCCCATCACCAAGCAGCTGCGGCTCTTCGAGGTGGACCAGGGCGAAGTGGTCATCCGGCTGGACCTGCACATCTTCGAGTCGTGACGGCCACGCGCCTCCTGCCGCTTCCGGCAGCGCCCGTCGTGTCCTCGCCGCGAAAGTCCATTGTTGTTCTTTTTCAATGTACGATGCCAGCTTCTGCGTGCGGGCACCCTGTCGAAGGCCATCGCGGGTAATCTCCTCTTCTGGTAACGGTGCAGCGAACGGCGCTCCCATTTCTTGCGCGCGGTTTCGCGAAGCTTCGGCGTGTCTTTCTTCCTAAGCCTTTTTGTCGTTTAGTGTGACCAAGGAGGACTAAAAAAAAATTGCTGGAGTGGAAGCTCCAGCAATGTCTTGCCAGCAGAAGTGAAGCCACCTTTTGCCACTGCCAAGATGGCGGAAACATGCTCTTTCCTGATGGTGCCCCACTTAAATATCAAGTGTCTTTGATATGTTATGTAAATGCAACGTTAGTTCTATGTGAAAAGATAGTTGTTCCCGACGAAATAACACACAGAAACGAATATGACTGAATCTTCAAAGAACTTTGCCTCCAATTAGAGGCTCACTAAGGAAAACTAGTAACTGTAAGACGCACTTGGAGCACTATGTTACCAAAAAAAAGTTCCCACATTAAACTTGTTGGGCGTGCGAGGGATACGCTTCGTTTTCAATCGCTGAACGGTGATACCTTATCATGCCCCTAGTAAGATGGCCACCACAGCCGCCATCTTGCCAGTGGAACGGCTTCACTCCTGGGCAGTCATTTCCAGTCCAGCAATTTTTTTTTTCATCCTCCTTGAGTGTGACGTAATGTAACTGAAAGTAAGCTGCCGGCAGGGTTCGTTCGTGGAGTAAAAGTATTCGAAGTTATTTAGCGGTGTGTCGAAAGCCGTAAAGTAAGCTCAGGCTGGGCGAGCACTGGCTTTATTGCCACGGAAGCGTCACTTCCGTGTCACCTGTCGATCACGCAAACCCGCGGACCATATCCAAGTCGCTGTGCCCGAACCTCGCATCCCCGGTGTTTACCAGCCGTACACGTCGTATCTGGGCTTCCGCTGCGCCCTCCTGAATATGAATGTCCGTACCTTGCCTGTCCAGGATAGCTCAGGGAATACCCTTCCTGAACGACCTTATGTGTACTATAGGAGGTGTGGGTTCTAACCACCGATTTGCTTCTCCAAAGCAGTCTTTTTTTTTTCGGTTCGAATAATAGTATAACGATTGGTTTGTAATGCTGTAATTCTTTGTGAAGGGAGGAATTTTAAATTTTAAGGGCTCGTTTTTTTTTGTTAGACACAATAGTATTGCGAAGTAACAATCTTCTTACTTCTCTGCTTATCGTCTTTTTGCGGTTCTTCATTTGGGGAAAGCAATGCCCCGGCTTCGTTTTGATCAGAATAGGGATCTCTCGAAGAGTAGTGGGTTATAAAGGAATTGAAGGCGAAGGAGAGAGAAGGAGACGTGAGAGGCAAGGAGATTAACGAGAGGTCGGTATGCTACCCGATATGGGGAGACACTTAACAGGGAAGTTGAAAGGAAATGAAGATTGAGAGAGAACTCTTACATTAAAACGACTTCAGGACACGGTATTGCTAGATTAAGGGAGTGAAAAGTTACCCGAGTATCTGCGACGTCACAGCACGTGACCGGATAGAAAGAACTACAAAGCGCGCAGCCATAGAACGACACAGGAAGCTCTGACTGCGCCGGGTAGCATTCGTGAACGAGCCTCTTGTGCTATGCGATCAGTTAGAGCCGGAGGAAGCAATGTTTACTTTTGTTGAGGAACTCGCTTAGTGAGTGCCGCACTTGGGCTATTCGGCGCTGTTTAAGGCGACGGCGTTCGACCAACTCGCATTCTGCAGGGTGCCCCGCAACGCTGCTTTCGATACGGGTGTGAAATCCGGAATGTCCGCGTGGATGCGGTCATATCCGGTCATTCAATCATCTATCTTAGCTGTACATCGCCAGGTGACGTATAAGTAAGACCGAAGGGAGTCTCAGATAGCAAGCGGTCCGATGGCTTCTGTATCTGGGTCGAAGTGTCATTAGTTTAGCGTAGCGCATGAATACAGTGCCTAGTATAACCAAGAGAGCAGGCAACTTGCTTTCTACGTGGGAGCACAGCACAGACCCTTTTTCTGTATGCGATTTGTAGAATGACTTGAACCTTGACTAGTTGCTAATCTTTCATGTCGTGTGGTTGCAACTAAGTTGACACGGCGTACAAAAAAAAAAAAAGATTTTGGGCCGTGGTTTCAAGTTAGCTGCAGTCAGTCAACATGAATGATATGTAGCCTAAGCCTAATGTAGTTTAGTAAAACTCTTCGGCGTTGTGTAGTTCCAAAGCTGCTCGGTGCTGCAGTGTACCGCTTGCCACCGCGTGTGGCCCATAGCGGCCGTCACTTGAGTGCACATTTTGACCTTGTGACATTCTGCATTTGACAACGCTGGTAGACTGCTCGAGTAGATGTTCACTTACGGACATCGAAAGTCTGCACAGTGTCACGGGAAGGGTAGTGTTGATATCGGGAAGAGAACTGTGATGCCTTTCGTATGTTGTTTCTGACACGGTCAAGTTTTTGTCACATTTGTGTTTGTTCTATAGACGGTAAGCGTACTTCCGGGTAAGGAAGCTGGCACAGTTTCACAAAAACTGAACTTCTCGCCGAGATTCTTTAAACGTTGGGAACTTTTAATTTGAAGAAGACAAACTGACGTTTGGAGTCAAGTTTCTATTTCACCCCACTGTCCGCTGCATTAGTCTCCTGGTCACATCGGGTGGCCGGGCCGGAATCGGATCACCTATGGGACCCGCCCGAAGGGCGGTAACACCTTTTGTTCACTTTAAGCGGTGAAGTGTGATTTGCTGTAATGCTGTGACAGCTTTTGCTAGTCGCCCGTATGTATCTGCAACCCGGTAGAAATCACTGTAGAAGACGCACAGCTGAACGTCGTACGTCGGCGATCGCTATCATTCAGCCAGCTATTGTGTGATGGTGTGAGATAGAACTAGACGCCTCTGTGCTTTAAGACAACGTAGAAGTGCGTGTGTAAATGACTGCAGCTTCGAGAATGTGTCATGCAGGTGTTACTGTTTGCGAAAATTGTGTAACCAGTGAGTAGTTGGCTTCGCAAGTTTTCAAGGCAAGACACCTGAATGTCGAAAGCAGCCCAGTAAGAAAACTATTTTTACAGTATAACACATTATGATAGCGACGATGAAGAATGCGGTCGAAAACCCGCATGACTAGTTAAACGTAGTGCGTTATGAAGCTGCCGCTGGTTCATAGATGTTTGCTAAGTCGGCATTTTCATTTGACTTCGTACACCTACATTTCACTTCGTACACCTACACATAACGTACACCAGTCAAAGGTCGAGAGCGAACTAACGTAACAGTAAGTGTGCCTATCGGCGACGAACACATCTATATATACGTGCGACATGCTTTTCGCATTTGGTGCACTCGGCGTACTGGAGCACGCGAGTTCGTCACACCCCACGTGACCACACTTTAGTAAAAGTACCGCGGGGGTTATCGGAACTTGTATGTTGTACCTGCTAAAGAAGCCATTGTCTTGCCGGTGCTATGCGGGGTCGAATATGCACTGACAGACTTATTCGGGGATACAGCAAGGTGGCCCTACGACATGATGACGTCACTTCGTTTCGTTTTGCTTGCCCTGTCTTTTTAGTGTTCGTGTTTAGTGTCTTGCGGTGTCAGAAATGATGTTTTGTCTAGCCGCGTGAGTTTTCCGTTGCGTCCCCCGACGGGGGCGCGAATGGTGCCGCTCAGCGACGACGCAAATACTAGTCTTCAAGAGGCATTCCCACGACTGTTGCAGAAAGTTTCGCGAATTTATCATATCTTTCTTCGCGAGTGTTATAGTTTCGTCGTATGTAACGTTGATAACTGCATAGAAGCGAAGCAGTATATGATTACCTGTAGTGTACTGTCCATCTTCAGTTTTTGCTGCAACATTCACTTAAACATTTTGTTGTAGAGAAACGTCTTTTTATCGTGGTCACGGTGCGACACCCGGCACTCTACTAGATTCATGTCTATTCTCTGTGTGTGCGCTCAGCTATTGAGTACCTTCTTGTTGTGTAACGATGGAGCCGCTCTTTCGTAATCTTCCGTGACATGTCGGTCTCCATAGTCATCGAACAACAAATAGAGAAGGCTTTCTGTGGCGACGGCGTACTGTAGCATACAGTCGACGTCGAAAGTTCGGACTCCGCGGGGCACACACAAAAAAAGTTTTAATTTAATTTCCGCCGCTTCCGCAAGCAGCCTTGAACTTTGATTTGTGATCTGTTCTTAAACGCGCTGACGTTAACTGTGCAGTTCGACCTGATACAGTCGGAAATTGCCGGTAAATTTAGGGCTTGTTCAAACGCAGTGGTCTGTGAACTTTGAACGCCTACTTTACGTCATTTACCGCCTAGATATGGGGCTAACGTGTTCTGGGAACAGCAGCGCTTGCCGTGACGTCTATTTGATGCTGTGAATCACGTATAATCGCTCAAAAAAACACAAAGAAATACAACTTTAACAGGAGTCTTCTTGATACTTCTTAATTATTCTTGCGTTGCCGGCAAATCTCATCGCAGAAAGGTTTCCATGTGCTTTTGTTGAACAGCCCATCGGATATAGTCGCCGTTAGTGTTCTAAAGTGTGATAACTTTGCTCTGCTGTGCTCTGTGCAACTGGAACAATCCAGTGTAGAAAGCGCGTACTGCGCTGAAGGGCCGAAAAAAAAAAAACAACGTTTTGTGTTTCGTTCAAGATTGTTTATACTCTCTTGTGTTTGCTCTATCTTTAAGCACTTTTTCTTTTTGTCTGTCTTTCTGGTTTTCTTTCTTTTTTTTTCTTTCTTCTGTGTGCAGCGTCGAATGTCTTGCCGAATCTTTTACCCAGAAGTACAGCTCATTGTGCGAGCAGAGTTTCCTCGTGTGTCGCACAATTCTTTAAGAGGTTCGAATGCGTCATCGTTTTATTGTACTTTATATTTAATTATATAAACTCATAATGACGACGTCATCGCATCCTCTCACTCTGTACACCGTATGAATAAGGCGAGTATAAAAGTGTTATTGCTGTGCATCGTACGGTGCGTGTGTGTTGATGAAATATTTCGCCAAACATCAGGTGGTGTGAAAGAAAAAAACGTGATCCGTTTTGAGCCGTATAGTATTATGGTGGCGTGTTTCCCCTTCAGCGGACCACGAAGGATAAAAAGTGGAAAAAAAGTTC